TTCTCGCGGACCACTACTTTGGCGACCTCTGTTCTAGGGTAAAGTTTTTTGACGATTTATACTGGAGATCGAGAATTAGGAGAAAAAATCTCTTTCCTTTTTATCAAGAGGCTAAGAAGACCGGAAAAGATGCGTTTATGAGAAATGATTGTTTAACAATAAATGGAGAAAACTTTACGTTTGATCTAATAAGTAATAGGCTAATGAAAATTGAACCTTTTTTATCACCAGGGAAGTCGTCGGATCGTTGAATGCACGAGAATTAAACACTTCAACTGTTATTCCTTATTCAGAGGTTTTCTATACGCTAAAGGTATTGTCATGGAACAGTAAGGTTCATTGTTTGCTAACTTTTCTGATAAAAATTTTGTTGATTTTGTATCATCATATCATATTGTTGGTATAACTGAATCATGGATGACTTTTTCGGTGACGACCTTTCTTTCATCATTGGACTCTCTATTCTATTTTACTGAAATGCTAGCTCATAAACTTGAGAAACCTGGAAGACCGTCTGGAGGTTTATTTTTAATGGTTTCTCGGAAACTTGGTAAGTTAAAAATTTGTCATCTCTCTGGTAACTTTATCATGGCTAAATTTATATTTGACAAAGTTCTGCTTAAGGATCGTCCTGGGCTCTTAATTGTTCTGGTCTATATGTCTATTCATAAATATGATTCATTGATTGAGTATCTTGATAGATTGATTCTGGATTTTAAAGATTATGATTACATTTTGATTCTCGTTGATTCTAAAGCTAGAATTGCTTCCGAATTAGATACACTATATATAGGTTGTAATAGAAATTTTCATAATATTAGAAAATCTAAAGATAAGATTTTTAACTATAGAGGAAAGAGATTTTGAACTTGGTTAAATCTTATGAAATGATTCTATTGAATGGTCGTTTTGTTACTTATTCCCCTGCTAATTTTACATTTATTTTCTCTTTGGGTGCATCCGTTATTGATTTGACAGCTACAAATCCTGAATTAGTTGATAATTTGGTGACTTCAGCGTTTTGAATAAATTTGATTCTGACCATCTCCCTATTTCTATTGAGCTCAGGTTTGATTATCTTCCTCTCAGTAAAGAATTGCCTACTGAGATACGTCGTTATGTGTGGAGATCTTCATGTTTGGATAAGTATTTGTATAATGTCACTAAGCGATATGCAGATATTAAGAGTGGATTTTTTCTGGATTCTTTTTTTTTATTCGTCTTTTGTTGACGTGATTCTTTAGTCTTTAATTCAAAGTAATATGTATGTTAAACATGATTGTTCAAAAAATTTTGTAAAGTCGTGGTTTGATATTGATTGCCTACGATTGAAGAGAGAGAAAAATCGTGCTTTGCGATCATTTCGGCGATCAAGAACTGAACAACAATTTATTATTTATTCTAATTTGGAAAAATCTTTTAAATCTCTCTGTAAAGCCAAAAAAAAACTATTTTGGAATAAGGCTAACTTTCAACTATCACATATTAAAAACTCTGCTGAATTTTGGAAAATTGTCAATAAATTTAGAAATAGTAAAGCTGTATATAATAACATTTCTATTTGTGATTGGTCGAATTATTTGAAAACTTTTTTTCTGGACCACCTTTAGTTGTACTGTCTATTTGTACTAATGATAATACGGATCCATTACGCGATGAAAATTTTACATTTGATGAATTACAATTTGTGGTACGATCTCTAAAAAATATTTAAGCCCCTGGACTAGATGTTGTTAAGGCTGAGATGATTAAATTCCTTCCGAATAATATTCTAAAAGACTTGCTATATATATTTAATAATTTTAAAACTAATTATTCTTTTTTCTATTACTTGGATAAATATTTGCTTAAAAATGATATATAAGAAGGGTAATCGGTTTGATCCTTTGAATTATCGTCCGATATCGCTAATTAATGTAATTAAAAAATTTTTTTCTACGTTATTGGCTAATCGTTTGCGACTTTGGCTTGAGCGGTCTCATACTATTTCTATTGGTCAAGGTGCTTTTGTAGTGAATAGAGGTGTTGGTTATAATTTATTTATATTTCTTAGAATTTTACAATTAATTTTGACCAAGAAGCGGAGAAAATTACAGTCGACCCCCCTATAAGATCATTGATTTTTCCGTTTTATCTGAATTACATGTTGTACGAGTCACTTAGATTTTACAAATATGTGAGTAATTCACAGTCCGGCACACGTATTTGTAAAATCTAAGTGACTCGTACAACATGTAATTCAGATAAAACGGAAAAATCAATGATCTTATAGGGGGGTCGACTGTAATTTTCTCCGCTTCTTGGTCAAAATTAATTGTAAAATTCTAAGAAATATAAATAAATTATAACCAACACCTCTATTCACTACAAAAGCACCTTGACCAATAGAAATAGTATGAGACCGCTCAAGCCAAAGTCGCAAACGATTAGCCAATAACGTAGAAAAAAATTTTTTAATTACATTAATTAGCGATATCGGACGATAATTCAAAGGATCAAACCGATTACCCTTCTTATATATCATTTTTAAGCAAATATTTATCCAAGTAATAGAAAAAAGAATAATTAGTTTTAAAATTATTAAATATATATAGCAAGTCTTTTAGAATATTATTCGGAAGGAATTTAATCATCTCAGCCTTAACAACATCTAGTCCAGGGGCTTAAATATTTTTTAGAGATCGTACCACAAATTGTAATTCATCAAATGTAAAATTTTCATCGCGTAATGGATCCGTATTATCATTAGTACAAATAGACAGTACAACTAAANATATTTCCTTGTTTTAATAGTGAATTCCAACTTATACATTGTTAATAACATAATTTTATATACGTGCCTATCTTGCCCCATTACTGTTGCCCCTATACCAGAGGCAACTTTAATAACCATAATTAAAATAATTACAACTTTACCTAAAGAGAGAAGTTGACGATCTTGCCCCTATACCTGGGGCAACTTCGTCAATTCCTCTGTTCTTGTAAAGTTGTAATTATTTTAATTATTTTTATTTCAAAACTGATTTTAACCAGTTCTATAGTAAGGTAACATTCTAATAGAATATGCAAAGCTTTTTTTTCAGTTTACAGCAGTATTTATTACACAAAATTTAAGTAAAGCTTAACATGCTGATCTTGCCCCGGTCTCCCCTATAATTCGTCTCTGTAATCCAAAATATTTTTTGGGAGACGGACTCACAACAAAACTTTTAGTTAGGAACTTACTTTTATTCTTTATGCATTTGTCATTTTTTAAAAAATAAAAGTGAGTTCCTAACTAAAAGTTTTGTTGTGAGTCCGTCTCCCAAAAAATATTTTGGATTACAGAGACGAATTATATACATGTCTTTTGTTATCTGATGATATTGTAATATTTTCGTATTCACCTATTGGTCTTTAGAAAAAACTTGATCTTCTACAAGATTACTGTAAGTCTAATAAACTATTTATTTATGAGACTAAATCTAAAGTAATGGTTTTTCGGAGAGGGGGTAGACTGGGGAAAGCTGATAAATTTTATTTATTTAACTCTAAATTGGAGATTGTTTCCTCTTACAAATATCTGGGTATCTATTTTACTTCACAGGGTTCTTTTTCTTATCACCTAGATAAATTGTTTTTAAAATATAAACTTCAGCTTTCTAATTTAATAAAGCTTATGGTTAGAATGAAGCAGTCTTCCATCAAGTCGTATTACCGATTGTTTGATTCCTTGATACGTTCAAGTTTGGGTTATATGTTCCCTATTTGGGGATCATCTTTTGTTGACAAATTGTAGAAGACGCAATTGAGATTTATTAGAACAATATATCATATTAATCGTTCGGTACCTGGACCTGTTTTAAGATTTGAATTGGGTCGTCCACCAATAGCTATACGTTTAACAATGACTATTTTTACATACTGGAGTAAAATTTTGGAGTTACCGGATTATGATCCTAGAAAGTTGATTTATAACAAATTGAAATTAATAGGTGGAAATTCTTCGTTTGTAACTTGGCCCTCCTCAGTTAAAAGCTAATTGTCTGACTTAAGTTACTCTACTGATTATTATTTTATTAGAAATTTGAGCATAATAATCAGTAGAATAACTTAAGTCAGACAATTAGCTTTCACCTGAGGAGGGCCAAGTTACAAATGAAGAATTTCCACCTATTAATTTCAATTTGTTATAATCAACTTTTTCACTTATTAATTTCAATTTGTTATAAATCAAACTTTTTATGACTGAAATATCTCAGTCATTAAAAGATAAATATTGGGCTCGAGATATTCATTATATTGAGCAAAAGTATAGGTTTTTTTAGACTTCCTTAGTAGCTCCATGGACACCTTGATATTATTTATTATCAAATTTAAACTATAATATTAAATCATTGATAATTCAATTGCGTCTTAACGATTATACTATTGTATTAAATAGGCGTAGAATGAATATATCCGCCTATTCAAACTGCCCATTATGTAATCGACTCTGTGAAAGTATTAAAAACCACTTATTTGTATCTTGTGAAATTACCGAGCATTTAAGGGATACTTTATTGACAGCTGAATTTGATATGTTTTGTTTATATGATAATAATTTAAGTTCTGATATGTTATTTAAATTTTATAATTTTTTCTGTTATTTATTAAACATGTTAACATAACATTATTAATTAAGTTTTAATATATTATTTATTGTTTGTGTTATTGCTTTTTTCTTTCAAACCATGTATAACAATGTTTGTATTTTTAAATGTTACACGATTTTGTACCCCCTTTGTAAAGGCGAAAGCCTTAGCAAATAAATGTTGATTGATTGATTGATTGATAATATAATGAAAAGAAATGGATGTTTTGTAAACGTCAGTGGCATCTGTTCTTACTTTAGCGTAAAGTATAGACTGGTTAATATAAGTTGTTTGTATAAGTTTTTATGAAAGGAAAAAATATACGAACTATTTTATGTAAATATATATAAATATATCAATTTATTAAGGTTCTTATTATTTTTTCAGAATGTGCAGACGTGGAAAAGTCATCGTGCCTGGAAAATTGTTTAGAGAAGAAGTTAAGGTGCAATGGAACAATGTGCGTTAACAGAAATGACTGCCCTTGCAAAATAAATGAAGAACTATATCCAGTAATTAGAGAGTTACATTATTACGTTAAATGAGATAATATACAAAATTTTAAAAGTTCAATTCTTTCAGCCAGGAACCCACATCACCAAAGACTGTAAAAATATAACTTGCAATAATAAAATGCATACCACTTCTGATATTTCTTGCAGTAATAAAACTATTACGTGCAAAGAGGTAAGAACACTTTCATAACTTTCCAAAACTTTTTTCTTACATTCATTTTATCAATAAATCAATGCTTTTTTGTAAGAACTATTAATGTGTTAGAAGGAGGTAACAGAAACAAAAGTAGTAATAATATTTAACAAGTTAGTAATTTAATACAAAATAACACAAAATAGAATATGAAATAGTAGAAAGATTTTGAAAAGCAGAATATATTAATAATATCTTTTCAAGACTTAAACCTTAGCAAACATTTATCTCTACTAACTTTAAATTTAATATACAGTCACACGACACAAGCAAAACAATTTATGACCTTTTTTGACTTACTATTTTAATATCGTGTGTAGGCACTATGGGTTTCAGTAAATTTCAAAGTCTAGCTTTACTTTTACCATCCCATCGGATCACCACCTGATGACCACTATGTGTTCACGATGCTCATACATCTGGCGACAACTTTCTAAGAAAGGACAAAAGGGACTTAGCGGTGTGGGCGGAATGACCGAATTTATATTTTCGCCGCGAAAATTTTAAAGGTTATATTTTGAATACATTATTTACGGGTCACGTCCAAGCCATTCACAAAAGTTCAGCGGGCCACAAATTGAGTATGGTGGCTCCAAAGCTACTACAAAAGTGAAGATATTATCTGAAACAACTGATTCATTTGATGTTGACATAGAAGTTTTGCAGGGTGAGATTTTGAGCCCGCTGCTTTTTAGTTTGTATATCAATGGTCTGGTAGCCAGATTTACTAAATCTGGTTTACCCGGGTTTTCTCTCTCTGATCAAGTTGAAATACACGCACTAACGTATGCCGATGACACTGTAATTTTGGCTGACCTTCATTAATGCTACAAAAGAAAATTATAATCCTAGAGGTATTTTGCTCTGACTAAGGGTTTAAGTGCGAAAATAAACTCTGCTTCTACTTATTAATTTCGTTTAATGATTTCATCCGTATTACTCTATACCGCGCCTAAATGGGCAATCACTTACTATGATAAACTTCACAGATTGAGTTTAAATTAATGACAAAGGATGGTACATATAAATGGGCGTAGGCGTTGCAAAATCTGTTCGATCAACTTGGTTTTTCTGTTGTATGGCTATCTCAAGATCCTCATTTGAACGTATGTTATAAACCGCTAGTTATAAAACTGTGCTGTGAACAAAGTATATAAGAAGACTGGTCTCTGTTAGAAAGAAATAAACACTTCCAATTATATTATTGCATTTAAAGTACCTTAAGAGTGTTAATTGAGTAAACAATAAATCGCACTGAATTAGCAACTATTTTATTTGAGAAACTGTAATTCATATTTATTATCAACCATGTAAGAAGTGTCTTCCAAATACAAACGAAAAAATGTCTGACGAAAATAGATTGTCTCAAGACAAATTGGAAGCTAACTATTTTGTAGTTCAAAACAAACACGGTTTTGCGACTTTTTGATCTGTGGTAAAAGTGTTATATTAAAACTATATAATAGTGCTCGTCATTTTCACACTAAACGTTCACACTAAACGTATTTCTTCCGGGATCTCTTACAAGACACGAGAAATTGGCTATTTTTAAAAAGTCATTGCAACATCAACAAAATATTATGTCTGTATAACGCAATAACGCAAGGCAATGGCTGCATCTTGCGTTATTGCCACAACAAAGATAACAAAGGCATCGTATGAAATTTTATATATACTTAATAACATACGAAACCGCTTACTGATGCTAAAATTGTGAAGGAATGTTTTCTAAGCGCTTCCAATGTACTGTTTGATAAATTCAGTAATAAAAATCAAGTAATTTCGGGAATAAAAAAAAATCCAGCTTTCAAATTCTACCCGTGTTAGACGTATTAAAGATATGACAAATCATATTTTTGATAACGAAATTGACGAATTGAAAAACTGCAGGTTTTTTAGTTTAGCTTTTGACTCTAGCACGGATATTTCACCAACATCACAGTGCTTGGGTTTTGTTAGATATTGAACGGAACAAAATTCAATTTGCCAAGATGTTTTGAAATTCCTTCCAATGAAGGGCCAGACCAGAGGCAAAGATTATCTCGATACTATTTACAATTTTCTAGAATAGAACAAGGTAGATATAAAAAAAATAGTTTGCGTGTGTACCGATGGCAGTCCTTCAATGACTGGACCCGAAAATGGATTTATTTCTCTACTAAAATAAAATTATGATTTGAAAAATCTAAGAACATTTCATTGCATCATTCATCGGGAAAACTTGGCTTGACGTATTGCTAATCCTAAAGTAGATATTGTGATGAAAACTGTCATAAATATAGTGAATTATATCCGAGCACGAGAACTGAACCACAGAATATCTAAAAGTCTTTTAGAGGAATTGGGTAGTGAATACAGTGGTGTTCTTTTACATAACTCGGTCTGTTGGCTTAGCGGGAGAAAAGTTCTGGAAAGGTCTTTTTCTTTGAGAAAAGAAATAATGCAGTTTTTACAGCAAAATAATAAAATTTACAGTGAACTGCAAAATAGTGAATGGTGATGTATTGAAGCGTTTGTATGCGGCATTACAGAGAAGCTTAACAGTCTCAATACCAGTTTACAGGAGGAAAATAAAATAATTTCACATATGGCGAATAAAATATTTGCATTCAAAGAAAATTAAACATTTATTACCAAGAAACACAAAACAAAATTCTGCGAAATTTTTCAACCATGACAACAGCTAAAGAAGACGGTTTTAATATTTTTCCAGAAAACTATACAATTTTTTAAAATTACTTATCTGCGCTATTTATGGAATTTAAACATAAATTTCAAGATCTAAGATAAATAAAAAATATGCTGTTGCTCATGGAGAATCCCTGGTTCTCGGAACCGGCAATAAAATCAGAACTGGCGGATATATTGGCATGTAATTACGCAGAGCTATTTGACGAATTTATTGAGATAAAGAAGAATACCCACCTGAAAGCTATTTTTAAAGAAAAAATAGCGAAAATAATTGCATTGACTTCTTGAAAATAGTGTCCGAACAATATAAGACTGTAAAAATTGTGCTCAAACTTTACTTACGTTGTTGGCATCAACGTATCTATGTGAATCGTCATACTGAAAAATGAAATATGCAAAGAACATATATAGAAACTGGCTTACTGATTCACATTTGGATACCGTTTTACCAGTAGCATGCAGCAGTTGAAAACCTGATTTAAGTAAAATTGTGAAAAAAATGTTTCCAACATCAACAGTCCCACTAATTTTCTAGGATGAGTGTAAAATTATGTTCGTTTTTTATATTATCTTTATGTTGCGGCCCGCGTGTAATAGCTATCATGTATATGTAGCTGGAGAAAAAAGTTCAATGTGTCTTTAGAGTATACATCAATTACTAGCCCAAAAAACTGTTTATTTATACCTGGCGTCTTCAAACTACGGCCCGTGAGCACCACCAATCCGACTTGCCATAATTTATACTTATTACATTGTAAAATTCACAATGTAATAAAAATAATACACAATAATAATCAGATGTTTTTATTTAAAAACCAGTTAAGAAACACAATAAGTATCATACATAGGTAATTCACATAATGAAATTAATTATTATTATTATGATAATGAGATTTATGTAGCTGTAACATTCCACTGATAATTGTTGTGGATCAAGTTTACTATTGAAAATTATAAACAGCGACTTCAAATGCTCATCAGTGAACTTGGATCTGTAAATGTTTTTTTTTTTTTTTTTCATATTTCAATGTTTTTTCACACAGATAAATAGTGCCGAAAGCAGAGAAAAGCCACGAGCAAATTTGTGCAACTAATCAAACTGTGTATGATTGTAAGACTTATAAAACGCTTATAAAATTTCCTCATTAATGACTTTAAATATTTTTCCTTAAAAATATCGCTACACTGCAAATAAATTATTTCTATTTGATGTACAGTACTATGGCAAGAGTTTCTATATCAGCGTTAAAACGATTATAAAAATTCTTGATATCGTTTGCAATTGCATCAAAATCTGAAAAACGTGACGCAAAATTTATTTTTAAAGCAACCAAATCTTCAATTGGAAAATCTACCGGAAATGGAGTCTCAGTTTGCTGGGTGAATGTTTGGCATGCATTAAAATCAGTGAAACATTTTTTGTTCAATTGAGATTGAAATAATCATTGTTTTTGTCGAAAAACTTAATATGAGTGTATAAATTCTCCTTGTAATTTTAAATTAAGTTCATTCATATGTTTAGTTAAATGTGTATAGAACAGGAGTCACCAAAGTGGTCAATATCGACCCCGGGAGTCGATATAACATTATTGGGGGGTCGATTATCAACCATAAGCTAAGGATAAGGAGGATCTAAGGATCAAGCTTATCCGTCTCACTAATTGTCAGTTACAAAAATTATTATTAACAAACAGAGGAGAAGATGAAATTATGGAACCCCATTTTTATTTTAGTGAATTGTAAACAAGGTATCATAACTACACTCACATTATTTGTGCGAAAAGTACTGGTAACTATTAAACTAGATGTTGCTAATTGGATTTTTCGCTAGTGTAACTGTGAGGATCAGAAATTTCGTGTTATAAATTTTAATCTTTTATAAACTTTAATTTAACTTTAAATGCAACTTTATAAAGAAGGAACGAATTATTAAAAAATTACAAGAGAAAAGGAAAAATAAAATCGATAAAACCTCGATTCCCACGAGTTGGGTTCCTTGTTGAGATGAGTACATCTCTGTGTCACGATTGTGTCACCCGTCACCTCATTGGTCCAAGGAGATCGTCATCCCTGACGAAATCGGGGAAAGGCCCGAAAAGAGGACTTCACATAAAAAGGATAGGCCCGATGAGTAAGGGTGTGGAAGTTATTATTTGATTGTGTGTGTGCGCGCCGACCGTTTACCTCCCGCCGAGATTCCTGATCGTCAACCAACACCTCTTCTTCGCCGACTGAACTGAACAATATCAACTATTCACCAACTTAACTTAGAAATGTGGGACTTTATT